GTTGATTAAATTAAATATTCAAAACCTTAATGATTTGCCTATAATGTTTGACAAAGAAAAAGTGGACAAAGAAAATATAAGGTTTGACAAAGAAAAAAATAGACCAAGAAAATACAATTTTTGACAAAAGAAAAGGGTGCCACATGATTTTAGATGCCTTTTGTCTGTCAAGGAGCATGCCCAAATAATCCATGACGTCAGCAAAGAGCGTCCTACCTCCAACGGGTATATTTTTGTATATAAATAGAAGTGTTGTGTGTGGAGAAAGATAAAGAATTTGAAGAGAAAAATTTATGTGTACTCCAAAATTTTGAGTATATTATATTCTACTCTTTCACTTTCAAATCTAAGTGTAGCTTTTGTTCTTACACTTTCATATCTACTCTTTGTGAGAGAATTATTGTAAAAGAGGGTTTAAGTACCACTTATTTTTATTCATTATTTTTGTGAGAGATTTTGTAAGGGTAAGGCATTTATTGTTGAGTGAGGCTCAATAGATAAGAGTAAGTCATGTGTCAAATCCACAAGCTTGGTGGCGTATTTATTCAATTGATAGTAAAGAAATTCTTAAGGAGGTTCCTTGGGGAGTGGATGTAGGTCTGGCGTGCCAAACCACCATAAATCTCAGTGTTTGATTTTCTCTCCCTATCTCTCTTACTTTTATATTGATAATTACTATTCTATTTTTTTTTTGTTTATTAAAATTCTGAATATTGTGTTAATTTTAAATAAAATTTTTAATAACCCAATTCACCCCCCTCTTAGGTTGCCTACTTGGGATAACAAATCTCATTCTTAAAACTTAATTAGCATTCTTAATTACAGATTAACAGCTACTTATAGATCGGGGTTGTTACAAAAACAAAACAATTTTTTTCTTAAACTTTGGTCGATTTTTTAAATGGGACCCATGCGCTAAAGTTGACGGGTCTATGTGGCAACGCGTTCTTTGCCGCGTAATGATTCATGTCTTATATTTGGTTGGGAAATCAATGTCAAAATGAACTCTATGGAAATTGTGTTTTGGTGAGGTTTCCATAAGGGATGGTGAAAAGGCTTGTCCTACATTGCTTGAGTAGGCAAACTTGGTGTGGGTTTATAAGCCTTGAGTTTGCATTTTGAGAAAGGCCCCAAGGGGTATCCAAGTTTGTGAAGGGGTAGGTTATAGGGAAAGTGGCCCTTGACCCATTTCCACGCACGCCGCCGCCGCTGGACCAACCTGGGCTTGGGCGGGGGTGAGAGGATGGGTTGGGCTTGTGTAGTCCAATGCTTATCTTTTTGGACAAAAAATATTTGAATTTTATTTTTCTAAAATTAAATTCTTACCGTTTGGAATTTAAATTTTGGTTTGAAATTCAAAATAAATTCCAAAATGACTCCAACGTTTCTGAACGTTGGCAGTTTAGTCCAATGAACCTTTTCTTCCAACCCAAATAGGTTCTTTACTTGCTCAAAACCAACCCAAACAGGTTCTTTATCTGTTCAAATCTATCCCAAATAGCCACCAAGTCTCTTAAAAATAGACAAGTCCTCCATTTGGTTTTTCATTCAATTTTCGTTCTTCTTTCTGCTTTTGCTTCCTGCATTTTGCTGCATAACTATTCTATAAGAAAGAGTATAAACACGAAGTATGTTCGCTGAATATTTAGTTTGTAGTGCTGCTACTAATTGTCGTCAATCATTTTATCCTGAAAGATAGACGTCCACATTCTGAAAGCACTTTGGAGAGCATGAATTTTTCTTAAGGAGACCGTGTTCAACACTGGACTTCATTGAATTTCGGGAGAAGCAATACTATAAGTAGTTTGTTTGTGATTTTCATTTTGAGTTTCATTATTTTTTTATTTTTTTTGGTTTGTAACAAAATAAGAATCTTTTTTTCCATATTTTATTATTCTATGTTCTATATTGATTTAAGTAATCAAACAAATTTTATTCTTCCTTAATCAATTCTTCGAATACAGTGAATATTGTCTAACAATTTGACCCAAAAAAGACAATATTTTTGAACTACATCATGTGTGTTTTTATTAGCATAATTGAAATCCTTAAATATGTATGAACAAATAAAGTGACATATATTTGTTTTAATTATAACTTTTGAGGACATTTTTTTATATTTTTTTCACAAAAAAAAATGTGACAATTTATTTAGCAAAATAGGTTCAACTTTTTTCATAGATTACACCAAACACATTTACAATTTATTTTAATTCTTTTAAACTAATAATCTAAAAATTTATAAGTATAAAATCTAACTTGTAAGTGATATCAAATGGGGCCAATGTGAAAACCATGAAATTTCATAGTTTTCAAAATCTGTAAATATTGCTTGAGAAATTGAGAAAAAATTTCCCCTATAATATCAAATTTAATATTGATTTTTTTTAAATAGATCTTAAAGTATATTTAAAAAAAAAAACGTGTATTATAAAAACTGAAATTTTAAAATCTGAAAAAAAAAAAACCCACAATTAAACTTACTAAAATACAAAAATCAACTAGATTTCTTGAGTTAGCTCAAAGGTCATGAGGCCCAATGTATGTTTAAGACCAAAATAAATAAATAAAGAAATAAATATGATTTTGAAAATGAATAACTTATGTTTAGGGTAAATTATAAATATGTTCCTTAAAGTTTATTTAAAATATAAATTGTCCCTATAATTATGAAAATTACATCCCGTCCCGTCAAATTTCTAATTACATAACAAACGGTCATTTTTATTAATAAATTATTAAGTCAATTAATAGTTCAGATAATTTTATTGTTGTATAGAAGTATAACTAGAATTTTTATTTTCATTAATTTTATTAAATAAATTTTTCTTGACAAGAGGGCTTTTATAATTTTCAAAACTATTAAACAAATTTCAGGAGGAATATTTGTATTTTATCCTGATAAACTACTAATGGGTCCTAATAGTTGAACTTATGTCCCATAAGTCATATTGAAAGTAAATCCTAATAAAATCGTCGCTAAAAATAATTTTCATGATATTTTTTTACACATGTCGCTAAAAATTGACAATTAATGATTTTTTATCATGATTTTTATAAATTGTTGCTAAAATTTATAACTAGTGAATTTTTTCTATGACGAATTTTTCAAATTGCTGCTGAAAATTAAAAATTAGTGATATTTCTGTGACAATTTTTGTAAAATATTGTTAAAACGTATAATTAGTGATATTTTTTGTGACAATTTTCAAAATACAATTTTTTTAATAGTGTTTGATAAAAAAACACAATTAATTATCATAAACTTTATTGAATAATAAGTTCACGTATTAAGATGTACACATAAGTCCCCTTAAAATATAATGAAATACAATTATTAAATTAAATTAAATTATTTATTTAATTATTTACGGGAAACTTACCAATAAGTCCCATATACAAAGTTCATGATCTATCTAATCCCCAAACAAAACACTTACACCAATTAGTCCTATATATTTTTAATTGTTATCAAAAAATCTTCTTTTTTTTTTTCAATTTACAGATGCTGTTACATTCTACTACCGTCAAACTTCCGTCAAACGATCACCGAAAACTTGTCGGAATATTCAACATCATCAGAAAGTCGCCGGAGTATCGCCGGAAATTCACCGGAGTGTTAAGAACGTTAATTGAAGTCGCCGGAATGTTCAGAACGTTCACGGAACGTTAAGAACATCATTGGTGATTCACCGGAATATCCAGAATATCGCCGAAAAAAATAAATAAATGGAGAGATTAGAGTGAAAAAATATAGCAAAATGTGCTAAATATTGATAAACTAAAAGGAAAAAAAAATGAAACGACAAAAAACAGCAACAATGGAAAAAACATATGCTATTTTTTAATTTTTGTAAGGTTTAAGCAAATAATCTCCAATATTGATCAAACTGAAAAGTAAGTTTTGAAATTGTAAAATATTACAGTTTCAAAGCAAAAAATCTATTAAGTATCTATTTTTATTAATCAAACTGAAAAACATGTTATGAAATTGTAAAATTTTACAATTCTAAAGACTATTATGAAACTGTAAAATTTTACAGTTTTATACCATGATTCATTCCAGCACCAAAAAAATTTGAAACTGTAAAATTTTACAGTTTTCACCGCTTATAACTAAAACTCGAAAATAACTTGTTCAGAACTTAAAAAATTTCTCCATTAGAACAGAAAAAGAGAAGTGTATAAAAAAAAAAAAAAAGATCAAAGGAGAGAGGTGAATATAGAGAAATGTTTGTACTCCTGCAACTATTTTTTGTTTAGATCTAGCCGGATCTGATGTAAATCTACTCAGATCTGATGTAAATCTACACAGCACCAAAAAAATTTGAAACTGTAAAATTTTACATTTTTCACCCCCTATAACTAAAACTCGAAAACAACTTGTTCAAAACTTAAAAATTTTCTCCATTAGAACAGAAAAAAGAGAAGTGTATAACAGAGAAAATGTAAAAAAAATAAGAGATCGAAGAAGAGAGGCGAATATAGAGAGAAGATTGTACTCCGGCAATTATTTTTTGTTTAGATCTAGCCGAATCTTATGTAGATCTACATCAGATCTGATGTAAATCTATTCATTTTCTTCGTCGGAAACATATCTTTTTTTATTGTCGGTGAGAGTGAAGTAAGTAGTCGGCGGTCGGTGGTTGCCGGTGAATCCCAATCAATGATAGTCATCGGTCGTCGGTGACTATATATTGGAAAGAGAAAGAGAAGAAGCAAGATATAATTACCCGTCAATGATCGCCGAAAAACACAAAGAGTAAAAGAGACAAAGAAAAAGAGAGGCAGAAAAGAAGAATAATAACGTTATAGGACTTTTGGGTATAAGTAAAAAGTTATTGGACTAAATAGACTACACGTTTTTCAAACAAGACTTCTTGATAATTTTCTCAATATTTACCTTGACCCTTTATAAAATAGAACGGGCCGGACAAGCCAAAGCCCGAACCCAAAGTGAGACTTGAAAACCAGATCTATAGCGAAACCCAACCCATTCACTGGGCTTGTCCTCAACCTGCAAAGACTCCAATCCATTGCATGCTCAGAGAGACAGAGTCACAGAGAGAGAGAAGAGAGAGAGAGGGGGGTTTTCAAGTCTAGAGAGAGAAGGCAGGAGGGAGAGAGAGAGAGAGAATTCAATATTCATAATGAGAAAGCATTGAATCAAAAAGGGAAGAAAGATGCGTAGGGAGATCTCAGTAGCTCTAGTTCAACCGCGAAGTCTTCTTCTGTTCCTCGTCGTCTCAATTCTCATTATTCTCGCCTTCTCCATCTCCCATCGTGTACGCTTTCTCTTACCCATTTTCCTATATTGTATATATACACACAATTATGGTTTTAGGTCTTTTTTTCATGGAGATGAAAAAAAAAAAAAAGAAAAGGATTTTGTGGTATCGGATTCGATTTTGAAATAGGGCTTGTTTTGATTGTATCGAACTCTGATGCATTACACAATTGAATTATGCTTTTATGTGTAACGATGATTTTGATGGGTTTCTGTCTATAGTAGTTTATATGATAGGGGCATGAGTAGTTATGCTTTTCTGTATATTGCTCAAGTCTTAGCTGTCATGTTTCACTTATGATCCATTTGGATTGAGTGATTTGGTGAGAAAGAATAAGAAATAAAGAGAGAATTTTGAGTTAGGTGAGAAATGGAGTGAAGGGAATAATTTTTGTATGCGGATTGGTATATGTCATGTGGTACGGTAGGGTTCACTATATTTATGTTGGGTGTTTGAGGAATAATAGGGGGCATATACATTTGTGATTGGTAGAAGGTAGTGCCACGTGGTACTCTATTGGCATACGAAAATTTCTCGAGTGAAAGTGGTGAGCTTTTATTGGTTTTTTTTGTCACCAAAATGATGAGATTTTACAGAACTAAATTGATTGATTGTGTATATTTTATAATACAGGATTGCCCATTAATATACAAAAGGAAAAAGAAAGAAAAAGAATTCCCACCCATATTCTTATATCATATACTTTGGTGTTTTACTCATTCAAACATGATAGTGAGAAAACCTCATTTTGTTTCTTTTCTCACCCTGTGATCCAAAATGAGCCTTGGGTTGTGTTTGGTTCTTGCATTTGGGTAGTGATTTGTGGAGGTAAAGGGTTGGGAAATATGAGAAAAGAGAGCTTATACTTCATTTTCATTTCCCTCCACAAATATCTACCCAAATTCAACATCTAAACACAGCCTTAGAATCTGTGTTATGCATTCATCAGGATATGAGTATTTGCAACTTTCACCAAACCTTGCATTCTTGAATATATGGTTATATTATATATGATGATCTTTTCCAATGGGAAGCCAATAACTCTGTCCAGTCACCTGAATTGTACTTCTCCAAGCTCCATTTGTGCTGGTAGTGTGAAATAAGATTGTGTTACTTAATTAGAACTTTTTCATTGTCGGTTCCTTGGTCACTGACCTGCATGTTGATACTTTTAATTAGTTTGCTTCCTGGATGGAACTTGTTGAGGTTGTTGTGGAGTAAAATATTATCGTTGTTTGTTTCATAGGTCTTGAGAGGCAAGGACTTCATGAAGGGATATGTTGAGCATGTTGAAATGTGAACTTGAGTTACACTTATATTTTGGTTCTTTTAATTGAAATACATCAGTCAATCCGCAGTATTAGTATCCTCTCTGCAATCCAAGTTTTTCTATACATATTAGACCTAATCTTTTTGTCCTTTTGTTTTCAATATTGGATTTGTGGTTTCTTGAATATGTGGATATTCATCGGCTATAATGTTACCTGTGAGGTTTGTGCAGTTTTAGAAAGGTTGTTTCCTGTCTTTCATTTCTGTTATTATACTGAAGGGATATCTTCTGTTGGCGGTCATAATGCATTACAATTTGTTGTTGGCAGTCATAATTCATTACAATTTGTTTTACATGCTTGAGATTTAGAAGTATTGGTCTTAGTATGTTGTAGAGTATTTCCTTTCACGATAGTATTTACTCTCAGCATTGATCATTCTCTATTTCTCCAGAAGTTGCTAGTGTGTTGAACAACTTCCTTTAATTTCATGCTCAGGAGGAACAGAAGGTGGAAGAGTTGCATGAAATTACCCACAGGGTATATTTAGATGTTGATATTGATAAACAACGTGTAGGTATGAAGTCTTCATGTCTCTAACTTTGTATAGATTGTAGTCGGAGTACCGAAGTTCATTAACTCAAAAATCTGGATATGAAATATGAACTTTGCTTTTGCCCCTTGCTTCTCTACATTTTTGAATTTTAGTTAATATGCACCAATGCTTAAGCTGGTGGGGGGACAAGAGTTTCCACATAATCATTTTTTTTAAAATCTTTGTATGTAATTTACTTATAAGTAGGGCTACAAATGAACAAAGCCGTTCGTGAACAGGTTTGAGCTCGGCTCGGTAAGGGCTCATTCGAACTCGGTTAGTTAAATTTTTATTGCGTTCAAGTTCGAGCTCGTAAAAATCTTAATAAACAAGCTCAAACATACTAAAATTTGGCTCGTTAGCTTGACTCATTTAATATTTATCTGCATAATAGAATAAATATATTATTTATATATTAAATAAGGTAAAAATATGTATAAAAAATAGGATAAATATGTTATTTATATATTTAAATAATGTAAATGTAAATAATAGCTAAATTTATTTATATATAAATAATAGCTAACTATAGATAATACATTATATAATAGCGGTGGTCGATATTAGTATTTTGGTAAGATATTAACTTTTCTTTTAGGATGTATATAATTGTATAATCAAAGTTTCAATTATAATTTTAGGCCAAGTTTGACATGTGGCCAAAAAGCTAAAAAGTCAAAAAGTTACTCAAAAAGTTATCACTATTCACTAAAAGTTAAAAATTACGGCTGCACAACTCCCAATCCTAATTTTCCCCTACACACTAATTTATATAATTTTTTAATACACATTTTTCCATAAAAAGTCAAAAAGTTAATCCAAACAACCATATTTTTTCCTTCAACTTTTTAGTCCAAAAAGTCAAAAAGTGCACTTATTTTGGACATCCCAAACAACCCCTTAGTCTCATATTCAAGTATGAATTTATAATTTCATTGGCTCGTTAAGACTTGTGAACAGGCTCGAGTCAAGCCTAAGCCAACTCAGCTCGAGCTCAGTTTGTTAAATTTTTATTGAGCTCAAGCTTGAATTTGTTAAAATCTTAATAAACAAGTCCAAACATACTAATAAACAACTTGGCCCGTTTGCAGTCCTACTTATAAGTTGTTAGTTTCATAGCATATTTCTCAACTCTGGATTGTTGACTTTGGCATGAACTGATGTTGTTTGTTGTCTTCCATATTTGTCGTAACCCTATTCCAATTCATTACAGGAATTGTCGTTGTTTCATACTATACTGAAAATATGATTTGACATGCCTGGCCATATTCAATGGAGAAAAAATTATAGCTCATTTCAATTTCTCAATTATAATGATTTTCAAATTTTAAGTACTTTCTTTTCGATTAATAATTTTCAAATTTTACACCTTTCCATTCTTTTGTGCTCTTTCTCACTTTATTTCCAATCTTTTTAAATTTTGAAATTTCCCATGAATTTTTGCAGGGAGAATTGTTCTTGGATTATATGGCCAAATTGTACCCAAAACTGTTGGTATGCCTTAAATACTCTGGCGTTATTCTTTTCTTTGAATTGATACCAGGATCCGGGAAAGCATAAAGTGATATTTTCCAAGATGTACATATTTTTTCTCTTGTGGTATTGATTCTAGCGTTATTTTTTTCTTTTCATAAAAAAACCTTTCAGTGCTGGATCGTGGTTCTTGTCTTTTCTTTGGATAGAACAATTGCATAGATGTTGCCATAATCTACATCTACTCTATCCACATACAGTGATACACCATGTAGCTTTTTATTTCAAGCATCTGAAACTGAAGAAAGAACTTTATTTGTTTTGGTTGTTTAATATGTCTTCTAAGTTATGCCACAAAATATGCCTTTCAATTGGGATAATGATGTAGAACAACTATGAATACCCAAAATATTGTTACTTATGTCTGGTTTTTTAAACTTGTTGAGTTGGTGTGTCCGTGTTACATGTCCTTGTCTTTGCCTATTAGATTACATAATTGCCTAATCTTTTGCATTTTTCTTATTGCAGAAAATTTCAGGGCTTTGTGCACAGGTATTTTGGTTCCCATCTTTTCGATTCATGTGGTTTTGAACTTTTAATGTTATAACCTAAATCTTTTGAATGCAGGGGAGCTGGGCAAGACTGCCAATGGAAAAGCTCTACACTATAAGGGAACTCCATTTCATCGTATAATACCCGGGTTCATGATTCAAGGCGGAGATATTATTTATGGTGATGGGAAGGGTGGTGAATCCATATATGGTGGGACCTTTCGTGATGAGAGTTTTAAGATAAAACACTCACATCCAGGTCCTTGATATGTGTATTTATGAATGTTCCACAATCAGGATTTTACTCTTGATCTTCCTAGTTATGTAGATCTTTTTAAGTTGCTATCATCTTCCCCTGAAATTGTACTTTTGCAGGTGTTGTATCCATGGTGAATTCAGGAGCTGATTCCAATGGCTCGCAATTTTTTATCACCACAGTCAAGACCAGCTGGTAAGCTATTTCATGGAGTGGCATTATGTTAAATTAAGATTTTAAGCTCTAAACAAAGAAGTTGGGTGCATTCATCAAATATTCTTTTAGGGTGCTGCTAATAGCATGCCAATTTATTCTTTGGACCCCAATCTCTTCAAAAGAATTATATTACAATTTTATCCTATCATAAAATTTTGACTTTGCCCCATCTTTAAGCCCCCAAACCCTAACCCTATCCCCACCCAGCAACCACCACCCTCCCCACCCTCTGGCACAACCCCAGCCCTTCCCGCCCTTCAGCGCCTCCCCTCTGCAACCCTTGCAAATGAGAGACGAGAGAAAAGAGAGGAGAGAAGAAGAGAGAGAGGAGAGAGAGTTAGCACGTGGCAGAATGGGAAGGGGGGGGGGGGGGTACGCGGCCGGTGCTAGGGGTGGCAGCCAGGAGCTGGTTGTGTGCATTCATGAGTAAAATTAAGATGTGAGGCTTGAAGCAAAGTAGTCGTGTGCTTTTATCAAATATTCTTTTATAATAAGGGCGAGCTTTAAGACCTCCTAAGAAATTTAGCCTACTCTGATTTCCCATGTTTCTGTATGTGCAGTGTAAATCTTCATTTTAAACTTTTCAGGTTAGATGGGAAGCACATTGTCTTTGGTAAGGTTATTGAAGGCATGGACACGGTCTATGCAATTGAGGGGGGAGCTGGTACGTACAGCGGGAAGCCCAGGAAAAAGGTGATTATTGCTGATTCTGGAGAGATATCTAAGAGCGAGTGGGAGGAGGGAAGCAAAAGCTCAGCAACAATTCCCTCGTGACAATGAAAATAGCAGGTTTTGCAGGATTCAGAATGCTAATCTGGTTGTAGGTAATAATACATTTCGTTTTTTTCCCACTGTATCATATCCATGAAAGTTGATTTCCTATATTAAACTGCTTGGCTTTTTTGTGGAAACAATAATTTTTTTTTTGTATTTGCAGTTACTGATTCATACTGTAAAGAAATCAAAGAAAATGATACTGTTTGCGGATCTCTGGTGTGCATATTTCACTGTGTGATCCATTTGTTCACTGAGAAGAATAGTTTGTTCTATCTGCATCTAACATTGTTTGTGTAGGAGACATTATGTAAAGCTGTATTAACTTATTAATGGCACTTGTCGTGCCTAACTATTGTTTATTTGACTTGGATCTGCCTGAGGTTTTTGTTGTAGCTATCGATAGATTTGTTTGTTGCTGAGAGATAATTATATATAGTGTTCGAGGGGAATAGAAAAAAGAAAAAAAAATCATGCTTGAAACATGGAAGAAAGTCTTGAAATCATATGGATAACTCTTGATTTTTCATCATTTGAAAAACTATCAACGCCAAAAGTATGGTTAGTCGAGCAAAGCATTGATACTAAAAAAGGGATGGTATTCACACCCCATGAGTGTTGCATTTTGAAGGATGTAACTGGTGAAGCTTACTGCACGTCTGTAAGGATGGCATACGAGCTTCTAAAACGCAATCTTCTCGCAGCTGTTTTTGTAGAGACTCTTTCTACTCATTTACTTGCTGGAATTATTCTTGTCTTCTCTTCAATTTATGCAATTGTGGTGAGTAGTTTTTTCTTCATTCTGTTTCCTAAAATTAATATTTTGTGTGTTACCTATCTTGCCTCCTTGTTGGCAGGCGGACCATGAGTGGATCTGTACAACTGAAAAATAAAAAATTTCAACTGTAATGAACCACTAGTGAGATTCGGGTTATAGTAGCCTAAGTTGTCTTGAGAGGGCACTTGGGTGCCAGGTCTCAAGTTTAAGTCGAGGTGTTGGTAAATTATCAATAGGCCCTAATAGTTATATTTAATTCTCATTAAGTTCTATTGAAAATAGGTCTTGGTAAAATTATCGTTAAAAATAATTTTTTTGAGGCAATTTTTTATATATATCGCTAAAAATTGACATTTAGTGATTTTTTTTTGTCATAATTTTTATAAATTATTTCTAAAATTTACAATTAGTGACATGTTTTTTTGACAAATTTTTTTTATATGACTTATTAGACAATAAGTTCACTTGTTAAGACCTATACGTAAGTATTAATATCCTACCCAAAAAAAAAAAAATGAGAACTTGTGCTATTTGGTAAGGCAATACACCATGCATTGTTCTGTTTTCGTTTTCGTTTTCATTTTCATTTTGTTGGGAACTAGAAGCGAAAACTTGTATAATATATTGTTTTAGTTTTTAAACAAATGTAAAACTTTCAAAATTTTGGATACAAAAAAATTGTATCTTCACTTTTTCCTCTCTCATTTTCAACCTACCACCTCTAGCCACAACTCACCACTGCTGCCACCAGCCAGCTTTGGCCAATTGCCGACTCCATGACCTCAGGCCACCTTGTGATGGCCTTTCGGCTGTTTCGTGACCTTTGGTGACACTCTAACGACTGACTGTAGTGGCCACCTCGCACCACCGGTCACTCCACTTTACCATTGATCACCTCCTTTAACAACTCACAAAACACGTTTTTTTTCCTTGTTTTCATTTGTTTTCAAAATATTTTTGCATATCAAACAAGTTTTCTGTTTTTGTTTTATAAAAACACAAAAAACTATTTCTTGTCTTGAGTATACAGAAAGTAGCAAATTGATAACATAAACAAACGACCTGAGTGTTTTGTGTCTCAAATAAAGGCTCAAGGAAAAGCTAAAAAAGAAAAGAAAAGAAAAGAAAAGAAAAGAAAAACAAAAAAAGAAGTGGATGTTACCCATGTTTGGTGACCTAAAGATATTTGTTTTGGTTATGTTTTACTCTGCTAAGTAAACATTTCCAACTTGCCCCACCAAAAGCTTCTGTTTTCCTAGGTATTTAAACTAGTAGCTGAAATTTCTAACAATTCTGGTTCGGACTGCAGATTTGTGCATTATTGAATGCCGTAAGCAACCTTTGGCCAGACTCGTATTCTGTGGCTGCCATGGCGTGGGTGCTAATGATGGTGGTGCTAGGATTTTTCGTGCATGTGCTGGACAATGTTATTGATATGGTGTACCTGTGCCATGCCATAGCCAGGGACAGAGGAGAGGTACGTAAACAGGAGGTTCATGAAGTTTATGTTCATCTCCCCATCAGTATGAACCATGGATCATCTCTTGTTCCCAGAGCTCCACTAAATGTATAACCATCATTGAATTAAAATTTGTGTTGTATTCTGATTGTGATTTGCATTGTTTAAGGAGTTAGAACTGCCATCTGGTGAATTGTACATAATGTTGTATTGTACAATGAGGTTTGTCCAATAAATTGACAAAATTTAGAGGCAAGTTTGTGTGCTACTTGATTTAAGTGCTTTCAAAACAGATCCTCCAACCCCTGAAGTGATATTTGCCAATGCTGTTTGGTTCGATCTCTAGCATGTGGGAAGATATTTGTATATATAAGAGCTTAAAATTAATGCTAACATTGCATTTCAAACATTGTTGGGGATGTTGATTCATTCCCCAAATTATATATTTCCTCCATTGGATGAGAAAAGCTGGTTGTTGATAAACAAGAAAGAGGCTAGAGTTACAACATCAGAAGATTTGAGGTATATGCACTATCCTGAATTATCCGAAATGATACAGATTCCCTTTTTTTTTTTTTGAACCCCACAACCCCCACAGACACATGTCAGCCAGAGATAGAAGGAAAAAAAAAAACAAAAAAACAAAAAGTTGGCCAATCACAATGCATTGGGGGTGGTGGGGGTTCTCCAAAAAGGGGTCCTAACATTTTTCCCTGAATTATTAACCTATTGATTAATATTGCTTGTATCTAGGTCATGAATTTGCTTATTAAGTTGAGCTAAACTGACATGGCACCGCATTTAGTTGTTTGTGCTTTACACATTACCAAAGCAATTAAAAGAATCAGAGGAAGCGTGTAGTTCATTCAACCAGGGGTCGGCATTGGGATGGATTTGGCTTAGGCTGGGCCCGTCTAGCCTGTGAAATTAGTAGCCAAAGCTCAAACAATGGGTTTTTTTGTTGGTAGACCGGCAGGCATAGGGCTAGAATCTTATGCCCAATTCTTACCTAATGGGCTTGGCCTAGACGGCCTAACTATTTGACAGATTCCCTTTTTTTTTTTTTGAACCCCACAACCCCCACAGACACATGTCAGCCAGAGATAGAAGGAAAAAAAAAAACAAAAAAACAAAAAGTTGGCCAATCACAATGCATTGGGGGTGGTGGGGGTTCTCCAAAAAGGGGGTCCTAACATTTTTCCCTGAATTATTAACCTATTGATTAATATTGCTTGCATCTAGGTCATGAATTTGCTTATTAAGTTGAGCTAAACTGACATGGCACCGCATTTAGTTGTTTGTGATTTACACATTACCAAAGCAATTAAAAGAATCAGAGGAAGCGTGTAGTTCATTCAACCAAGGGTCGGCATTGGGATGGATTTGGCTTAGGCTGGGCCCGTCTAGCCTGTGAAATTAGTAGCCGAAGCTCGAACAATGGGTTTTTTTGTTGGTAGACCGGCAGGCATAGGGCTAGAATCTTATGCCCAATTCTTACCTAATGGGCTTGGCCTAGACGGCCTAACTATTTGGGCTATGGGCTAAGCCCCACAGATTGAAAGTGGCACAGAACACAGGTGCTAGGACATGCTGCCAAATGCATAGGAAGAAAGAGTTGTGTGCTAGGTTGAGAAGGCTAGGAATGGCAATTCACCCATGGCATGGCCATAAATTACTAGTGGACACCTAGAGGCAACTTTTTAACCATCTAACTTTAGGAGGAGGAAGCTTCACCACCAAATTGAGAACTATGTATATCCATGAGAAAGAAGCTGAGTTGTAACAGCTCAACTTGGTGGGGTTGAAGCCAAAACAGGCCTTCCATTACCCAAACCCTGGTTTCACCATATTTGTGAGAGGGGCTACATCATGCATAGACTCATCAGATTCTATGAACAAATGAGTCCAAGACACTACTTGTGGGCCATAATAAAAAGTTTCAATAATTCAACTGTGCCCGAATACTTTGCACAAAATTATATTTGTTGTCCTCTATAATTTATCTATTATGTTAATTTGGTCATTGTAGTTTCCAATTATATCATTTTTGCCTTTTAATTTTTTACATTGTGTTAATTTAGTACGATTGATAATAACCGTTAAAAAAAATTAGACAAAAATTCAAGTGGTCCATTTAAAAGGAAATAAATCATTTCAAATTAGACACCAACTCATCAAACACTCTGACAGGAGTGAATGAATTCTTTATTTATTTGGATTAAATTGACATAATATGAAAAATAAAATAGTAAAATGATAGGATTAGAACTACAAAAATCAAATTGACACAATATAATTTGTTCTAAAAAAAATTATGTAACGATCACATCAGTGTGTGGGCTTCACTTGTTATCTTTAATTTTTTTTGTATATTTTTTTTTAATAATGTGCGATATTCACACTCTGATGGGATTATTTTCTGATAAAATTTGAAACAAAAATTCCCAGTATAGTCCAATTACTTTTTTCCAACTTTTTTTTGGTAGTAGCGAGGAGGACCACGCCATATAAGGGACATTTCTCCCCCATTCACGTCTATCTTGTCACTTGGCTCTTCATATATTGTTAGATTTTAGTGTTTGTAAACTTTCTATTTGTTCTCTCACTCTCATATAAATCTTAACAACTCATCATGTTTATCTAATCAAATGTACAGAGAGAACATATTGCAACACTATTTAATAATATATATATAGAGAATTAGATATTGTTGCACCACATTCCTTAGACATTTTTATGGGGAAAATCACAAGCTTGGGGATTTGAAACGTGAAAATTACATGCACTTAGAATTAAATATTCAAAAGAAATTAAGACACAAATGATAAATGCATTTATCTTTCTAAAAGATTAATTACATTTCGTTTGGGAAGCCCAACTTGGGGCTTTTTTTTTTTTTTTTTTTTTTTTTTTTTTTATTTTTTTGACTATTTTAATCATAAAAAATAAAATAGATTTTTTAACTCAATAAGATAAAACATTACATCCAACCCATAATTATTACATTCTTTCTCTCACAAAAAAAAGTCAAAAAAGCTAAAAAAGCTAAAAGCTCTTTCCAAAATAGACTTTTTAATCCCAGGTTAAAATAGTCAAAAAAGTCAAAAACCAACCCACTTTCCAAACGAACCCTTACACTTTACTTTCGATTTTTTTTTTCCTTCTCACTTTGACCGTTATATTTTAAGTTTTTTTCAATTTATTTTAAAAAATAATTGATGTTCAAAATTATATAGAAAATGAGACACTGATAGTTATGTGATATGAAAATATTTCATTATATATAATTCACAATTTGAATATAATAATAATTTTTTATGTCATGTAACAACTAAGGTGATATTTTTTGTCTAATTTCAAATAAAAATTAACTTTAAAGTAAATTAAAAAAAAACTTGAAATATGAAGTTTTAAAATACAAATAAAAATTTTAAAATTAAAGTAAGAAAATAGCCAAACATAATGAAGAAAAGTGTAATTTACTCTCTTTCTAAATTCTTACAATGCAATTGATTTCACTCATGCCAAGAACATGAAGCTTTTTGCTTTTTCATAGATCTATTATTGCTATCCATTTTTTGGGCAGTCTTCTATAAAAGTTTTGTGCTTTTAAGCAAAGACTTTTTTGAGGAATGAAAGATGGAGGTATGTGGGTTGTGCTATCTACGAGATGGGACCACTGTATTCTTCACATATTGATATATGAGCTTTTGATCTCTACTATGTATTCTACAATGGAAGTGGACATGCAATTTGATCTTGGACTTGTTCATGTTTTTGAGTTAAATGTTTCTCTATTTCTCCTCTTTTAATGTAACCATGCTTTTAAGTTTAGCTCATGAATGAACCGAACACCTTTTCCCCCACATGAATAAGATCAATAAGATCAATTCCATCTCGAACCCTTCATTTTTATTCTTGTTCAATTTATTTAATAATTTAGTTTAAAAGCTTAATTTGATATATAGCTTACTTCAATTGTGAGAATCAGATTTGTTTAAAAATACCTAACCTATCCCAAAAACTTATTTTCACCAATTTTGGTTACAAAATGAAATCTCCAATCCTTCATCTTCTGATAATTTTATGAAATTTAAGTGAAAAAAAGTCTTGTTAAAAATTTTGTGAAAGATTTAGTTAATCCTTGATTTGATGAAAAACTTGCTTCTCTCCTCATTAGATACAAGTTTGATGAAAGAATTAGATCTCATTTTTACTATTTTTTTTTATTTTGTCAAATTTAAGTTAATAAAAGATTTGGTGAAGGATTGAAGATATTCTTAGTAATAGAATGAGAAATACCCCAGTGTGCAACTCTATTACAAAATTACATAAATTTTCATGAATTTATATAAGTGATTTCACAAAAATGTGTAAATTGAATACAAATTTGTTTAAATCTTAATACAGTGTGTATTGCATACCGGATAATTTTTCTTTTTTGTATAAATATTACTAAAAAAATATTAATAAAAATTTAATCAATTATTATGTGAATTAAAATTTTAAAAAATTATATAACATAATTATGTTAAAATTATGATATAAAAGTCGAAAAAAGGTTGAGACCTCCTTTTCCTTAACTCTCACCACCCCCAGGGTGTGTTTGTTTTGAAGGATTAGAGGGTGGGATTGGACTATTAGCCCCACCGGACTAATAGTCCATTGTTTGTTTCATTTTTTTGCTCCAGACTAATAGTCCCATCAGACTATTAGTCTCACAAATATGGGACTATCCTATCCCATGGGGGAGGTGGGATAGAAACCATGGGAATGATATCCCATGAGATTATTTTGTAAAATGTCCATTTTACTCTCCATGCTATTACTCAGCAAACAATTAGAAAATGATAAAATTGTCTTTAGAACATTTATAAATTATTTTTTTAGCATTGTTAATTTAAAATTATATAGTAAATAAAAAATTTAAATTATAAATTAAATTTAATTAAAAATAATAAATTATAAATTATGGCCTTATAAATTAAATTTTTTTGTGTTGTTGAAAATTTAATTTATATATTAAATAAAATTATTTTTTATTGTCATTAATTTAAAATTATATATTAAATAAAAAATATAAATTATAAATTATAAATTTAATTTAATTGAAAATAATAAATGAAAATAATTAAAATATTGTGCAAAAAATAAAATAAAATAAATTTTTATTTAATCTAGGTAAAAATAATTAAAATATTAAAGTTATGTTTAATATTGTTATTACTTAGCAAATAATTGAAAATGATAAAATA